TATGCTTTTTTCAAAAAAAAAAAAAAAAAAAATCAGACGATTTCTTACGTATTTTGGCTTCGTTTGAATTGAAGAACCATTTTCGTTCAACAAATTTGATTTAAATGCCATGTCCGCCAAACACAAGTGCGACAAGGCACGTGTAGCCAAGCATCACAAAATCCTGCCCCAAACTAAAATTTTTCCGGGTGGCAGAGTTCGTTCAACCCGAACAGAAGTTTCTTAAAATGTTCGCAAACAAAGGCTTTACCATATTCTCCTCATAAAAATTTCTAAAAAATAGTAAAAAAACACTTTCTCAAACAAACAAAATTATAGTGGCGATCTGAATTATAAAAATAGGTAGAAAGCTCTCCCAAAGAAACCCTTACTTTACATATATAGCTGTCATTTTCTGGCTAATTTAAAAAAAAAAATATTTAATGAGATTGAACTTCTCACAATTGTATGATTTTTTTTTTAAGGAATAAAGAAGGAATAAAAAATCCTTAAAAACTTCAACAAAACAAATTTTCTCTAATAAGTCCAATTTTTCCTGATTGAAATTGCATATGTTTTCTACTTGCTACACGGATGTATACGCTCCTACGAAAAATGAAATAAAATTTATGACAGTAAAAAATATCGAATTTTGATGATTTCATGTCATTATTCTGCTGGTTTAAATTGAATGCCTTCAGGTTGTGGCCTCAAAGTGCATACCATTTCTCTCGTCTTCCCAAAATACACCTGCCATACATGCCAATGAACTAGTACTGCAATCAAGCAAAAGCTTATGCACAAAGAAAAATTTGGATGCTGCCTTATTCTCATCCAAATTATTTTCAAATTCATATAATCGTGTATAATACATAAGAAAGTAGTTAGAACTTGTAGAAAGGTTTATGTGCATGTCACGCAATTCCTATTACCATATTCTCCTCATAAAAATTTCTAAAAAATAGCAAAAAAATACTTTCTCAAACAAACAAAATTATAGTGACGGTCTGAATTTTAAAAGTAGGTAGAAAGCTCTCCCAAAGAAGTGAAATATTTGCGTACATAAGATGTACACAGCGCTGCGTACATCAGAGGTTATTCTGGGGGTACAGGGAGTTATATCCGGGTTATATCGAAGGTTACAAGAGGGTATAACCCAGATATAATCCCATTGTACCCCCTGAATAACCCCTGATGTACGCAGCGCTGCGTACATCTTATGTACGCAAATATTTCTCCCCAAAGAAACCCTTACTTTACATATATAGCTGTCATTTTCTGGCTAATTTTAAAAAAAAAAATTTAATGAGACTGAACTTCTCACAATTGTATGATTTTTTTTTAAGGAATAAAGAAGGAATAAAAAATCCTTAAAAACTTAAAACAAAACAAAATTTCTCTAATAAGTCCAAATTTTCCTGATTGAAACTACGAAAAATGAAATAAAATTTATAACAGTAAAAAATATCGAATTTTGATGATTTCATGTCATTATTCTGCTGGTTTAAATTGAATGCCTTCAGGTTGTGGCCTCAAAGTGCATACCATTTCTCTCGTCTTCCCAAAATACACCTGCCATAAATGCCAATGAACTCGTACTGCAATCAAGCAAAAGCTTATGCACACAGAAAAATTTGGATGCTGCCTTGTTCTCATCCAAATTATTTTCAAATTCATATAATCGGGTATAATACATAAGAAAGTAGTTAAAACTTGTAGGAAGGTTTATGTGCATGTCACGCAATTCCTACGTAATCATACATCTTTAACTCCTAAACTAGAATTTTCAAATTGTATGCCGCCATATCCATATGCATGAAATGCTGTATTTCACTTTAAAAAAAGTTAAAAAGTGATCTTTTAGGTGATATGAAAATTTAGGGTGGTATAAATGTAAATATTAAAGGTGTTAGATGCGTAAATACATAGAAATTTGGTGGTATGTATGTAATGCCCCAAAGGGTTACCTGATCCAGTGAATTCCTGAGCTTACCCTCCATCTCCTCAATCATCTTTCCCATGTTACAAATGTGACCATCCGCCACTACAAGATCACAGTTCATCTACCAAAGAGAATGCCATTGCATGATGAGAAGAAACATAATTCAAAATCTTATAATTACGAAGAAATTATTAGACTGATAAAAAAAATAAAAAATGACAGTTTTTCTAAATCAAATTATTTTTTTATCAACAAAAAATATTCAACCGCTCCAATTCATCAGCCACGTTCTACAGATTAACTTGGATTATCGAAAAACAGGCTCATAGACTTTCTAATCTGACTATTGTACAAGTTTCAAAGAAACGTATCCTTCCATATTTAATCATGCAAATAGTTAATGCAAACAAAATGTAGGCTATAGAATCACTAATAAACCAATCAGGTATTTACTGCCTAAAAACATAAGCACTAAAATATTTTCAAGCATGCCCCGACACAAAAAGAAATGATAAAAAATGAAAAATAAATAAATAAATAATGATAAAGAAGATTTACATATATATATAACACTCTATTCCTAATAAAAAAATAGGGTCCTTTACATATCAAGCACCCAATTCCTACGTATTACCATATCATCAATGATGTAAACATAAATTTTTATGTACAGACCACCGGATTCTTATGTTTCCGGGATAAATTGGGTGGTGTGTAAGTAAAAATTAAAGTTTAGGCGTTTTATATGTTAATATACAGGAAGTGGGTGGTAGGAATGTAAATCTCTCTAAGAAGTAAGGTTTAGATATGTAAGTATATAAGAATTGGGTTGCATATACGAAATGCCTCTAAATACAAAAATATGACACTAAAAGCTAGTTTGGAAACTAGACAAGAATAAAAACCTGTCTTCTGATTGAACCAGACAAGTTAAAAGTGCCAAATGGTTTGTCTTCTGTAGTCATTGAAAGCATAATTGTGCTTGTCAAGCAGTAATGAGCCTTTTCATCTTCTTCTGTTCTGACCTGATTTAACAGTTTGAAAATTAAGATTGAAGCATGAGGATAATGCCTAGGAATGTGAAATGTTTACTTGTGTACCTGGATAACATGGATTGCCTCCCAGGAACCCTCTCGGAGATACCCTCTTTTTCCATCCCCACTCTTTGAACCATCTATTTGTGAGAATTTAAATAAAGAGGAAAAACTTGTAAATAAAAATTTAAAAATAAAATTTAGAAAAAAGCATTATTAGATAAGAAGTGTCTGATATAGCTAGTAAATTAAGAACTAACAAATTTCAGGAAGAAAGCGGACCTTTCTTTATTAAGAAACAGGCCACCAAACCTTGTCCATCATCCTCCCACATATATACAGAAGAAACGCCACCTTCATAGTACCTAACAGAGCATTTTGGAAATAGAAGTAGCCATTACTTAACTATAATTAGTAACACAATCAACATTGGAGGTTCTAATTGATAAAAATATCCCACACTTCTAATAAAAACACTTCCTCTACTTCTACAGTAACCATAACCAAAACAACAGCAGGCAGAAAAAGTTAAAGGGTTCAAAAGTTTACAGTTCAAGAAAGCATGCAATCTCCCAAGAAGATAAAACCCTTAGCACACGTCACCCAGTTTTCATCCTTTCCACCAAAAACCTCACTATAAATCCATTTGATTTGCCAAACTCTAGTACAAGCAGGAACATCAAAATTAGGGTTTCTTCAAAAACACTTCTATTGTTATGTGAACTGAAAAAAAAGAATAAGAAAAGAAAAAATGCACAACAAAACACCTACTCAACAAAATCTAATCAAAAAACAAAAAGTCAACAAACCAAAAAGATACTCAAAAGAATACTTGCAGCACAGCCTTATGAAAAGTACATAAATCAACATAAGAACTTTGCAAAATGGAAGATATAAGATGCAAAATAATGAGCCATAATTTCTCCCTAGAAAAAGTATGGGGATTCCTGTTCACCATGTAGTTCTAAATCTTTACCGCATTACTTCTAAGATATTTTCCTACTCTGATGCAATGAAAACAATGCGTTGGAGAGGCAAAACAAGGGAGACAAAACTTAAGGGCAAGAAATGAATCTTACATATCAAAAGCTTTGCTGGTTTCAACTTGAATAGATCCCATCATGAGTTTATATTATACATTAAAAGTATTTTAGACATTGAAGGAAAAGATAACAGAGCTTTTACTTCAAGGGCTACTGTAAACAGGAAATAAAATCACAAATGTAAGGTGATATTGTAAAGGAGATATTGTTGTAAAGGAAAATTTACATACATACCACACAATTCTCATGTATTTACATATCTAACACCTAAAATTTGATACTTACACTTATAACACCTTGGTGTCATGAAACTATGGATGAAAATGTGTTTTTCATTTTTAAAAAGATAATGATGCTGGTATTTTGATGGGATGTTAAAGATTTGAGTGGTATGAATGTAAATATAAATGTTTAGGTGTTAGATTTGCAAATACATAATAATTATATGGCAAGTATGTAAATGCCCCTACTTCGATAACAAGGACCACATTGTAGCAACCTTTATATATCAAGAACATATACATGTAAATTTCTAGAAAAAAATAATTGAAACTAGACATTCTATTTATTTTCTCAAACAGTTCCTTAAAATGAATTCAGTTATTCACAAAATATCATTGTCAAAATAAAAAATGAGGAGCGTAAAGGAACAAACTGATCACGGTAAACAGCAAAAATGTCATTTGCTTCAATCTCTAGCTTCCTCATCTCTGCAGATGGGAGAGATCCATCTTCTAAAGACGGATAATATTTATTTGACCAAGGAGACCTGCATATTAGGGAGAAAATCAACGCTTTCATATATGCTGCTTTGACACCACATAACTTAAATCATAGCCAATGTTTTCCATAGCATCATGCGAGTTTCTAAACATGAAGTACCTATATGAATCAGCATCTCGATTATATTCACAAAGTATAAACTCCTTTGAGCACTCTGCATCCACAAGGACCTGAAATTGATTAAATTAATAGTCAACAACTTTCGTTAGCACGCCTGAAAAAAAGACCCCAAAAACAGAAAAAAAAAAAATAATAATAATAATAATATACTTACGTTGATATTTACAATCTTAGGGGTTGTTTGCTGGAAACATTAAGGCTGGATCTACATGGCTTCAACTTAAATCCTACCAAATGAAAATTATGGAAACTTTAAATCCTATATAATCCTATATCCTATGTCTCCTCTGTTTTGCTTAGATAGCAGGTTTAATAAATACAAGATCAAAAATAGCTTTTCTTCTTAAGCTTCACATTTCTCTACTGCAGTCAATGCTTCTCCATCAAGCTCCCATTGGAACTCCTCTCATTCTTTCCCGTAAAGGGTTGCAGAATGAGAAGAAAGATGAGTGTTTCAGAAGCCATGATCCCACTGGCACCTTTGCTGCTAGGTAGCGCCAACCGTGACTTTCGCTACTTTTTACATCAATGGAAAGTGGAAGGGGTAAGAAAGAAGGTTTCAATTTTTAGAAGAGGTAAGATAAAATTACAAGGTTAATTTATTAACAAATTTACTAATTATCATTCATTACATAAAAAAACATTAGGATGGCTAATTTAATAATTTTAAAAATTTAATTTAACTTTTTAAGGTTTAATTAGGTTTATAAATTCTTAATTAGTGCTTATAAATATTATGCTACGTTAATTATAATCAAATTACACTAATTAATGAAAATATGCATTCATGCACAAAATGATTGAAAGGGGAAAAGATATATCATTAAGGCATCTAAAAGAAAAAAATTTACATCAATACCATACAATTCTTATGCCTTCACATATTTATCACCTAGAGTTTGATATTTACATTTATAGCACTTTGATGTCATAAACCTATGCAGGAAAATGTATAATTCACTTTCAAAAGGTTAGTAATAATGACGTTTTTATGTGATGTTAGAAATTTAAGTATTACCTATTTAAATATAAAAGTTCAGATGTTAAATATGAATTTAAAGGCCCCTAAAAATAAATTAGATATACAAACTCTATGTTGAATCCAAATATATCTTGTGGATCACACCCAAGGTATAGAGCTAGAGTCAATTTAGTAGTCAATTTTTTAGATAAATGACCCCCTATTTATAGGTTCCAGGGGTATCTAGTAAAATTGTACATTTATCCTTTTTTAATTGGAACGTTAGAAGTCTTTATTACACATTTTCATATTTGTAACCGATTTTGGGACCCTTTCATATTCATAACTGACATTGACACCGTTTTGTATTTATAAATGCTTGAAGAAGAACATTTAATGGCCTTTAGTTTTATCATTAGGTTGGCTGAAAGGTTTTTCGTCGGCTCTCTCAAGAGAATCCTCTGTATAGGTCCTCCGGTCGTTAGGGCGAACTGGGACCGTCAGGTAGAGAGTGTATCACCGTAATCTGACGAGCATCTTTCCTTGGATAAGGGGTCTTCTTCGAGGATCAGGAAGGTGTTTCGGAGAGAGCTTTTTGGCCATATTTGTGAAGATTTCTGGAATCAATTTAGGGAACTGGTCATGAACGACTGTCCCTCATACAAGGTGTCTTCTATTTGTTCGTTCGACTGTGCTTCCACTCGGTCGGCTCATAGTTCCGACTAAAGAAGATGACGCTCGATGTTTCCGTCTTTTAACTATCATGATACAGTGTCCTTTGGTGTTCGTAAGCAAGACCAGTTGGACTTTCTCAAAATTCATGTGGTCATATTTTTTATGTACACTCTAATATACCAAATTCCATATGAAAAAAAAATAAAAATACCTTCTAGAGAAAGACCATTATGACCTATAGAGGTAAAACTCGGCAAATTACCCAATCATAATAGGATCAGCATTAACGACCAAAAAGAAGGTTCAAAGCATTTCAACCCTCTCTGAATCACTTAAAATCAAAATAACTGACATAAAGTAATATTAATAAACTGCTGTCCTAATCATGATGGGATCCGAGGCCGAGGCACCAGGGGGACTCTGTATCCACCAGCTCCAGCCTACCCCCACTGAGCTGTCGGATACACGAATCAATCTGCCCTTCAACTCCTTTCTTTATTTTATGTCTTGGATCAAAACAATTGCAAAGATAGATCATACCAGGGCAGAAATGCAGAGGATAAATTACAAACAAGTAGGACTTCAAGAGGCCAATACAGATAATTCAGACTCGCCGTTGATGTTTTGCCACTAACAGCCATTGAGATCTAGGGCAGTGAATTACAAAAGTAAAGTTCATTACAATGTCTCCCATTCAAAAAGTTCCTTGATTTGACATGTTAGGGTAAAACTAGTTGTAAAGCCGAATGAGCTTGCAATCGCATGCCATCATGAAAGTCCCCCAAAAATAAAAGTCCAAACCTCACGTAACTACGTTGGTCCTAACTGACATCTTAGAACAAATTCCTTTACCGATTCTCAAAAAGAAACAAAACAAGAAGCATTGATTCCATGCACAGCGTTAACAACACAATCCAAATTTGATTTCCGCTAGCAATCCGATACAATAAACAAAAATCAGAAGCAAATGAAAAGAAAAGAAATGGATCAACAAAACTATTTTGTGAAGGGGATAATAGAGGGAAGAAACAAAACCTGTAGAGGTTGATCAACCTGGGAAAGAAGCTCGGAGGAGTGGTTGGGGAGAAGCGCCAGCAAGGCAGAAAGCGCCGTCTCGCTCTGGTTAGGAGAAATCCTCCTCATCAGATCCAGCGCCGCCTCCATCAAGGGCTATCTAATCTACCAAAACGTCCCTGGTCCGCGAAACCCCCGGTCAGAAAATCGAAAAAGAAAATGTAAGAGAGGAGGATTCAGCGACATGAATTGCTCTTCTTCGCTGAGACTGGAGTGGCCGTTTGGGCGGCAGCTGTAGAAGAAGCTATATAGAAATATAAAATGTTGATCATCTTTTAAATTATTTTGTCTTCTTTTCTTTTTTTTTTTTTTTTTTTTTTTTTTTTTTAGAACGGATAATAATTTTAAGCGAATCAAGCTCTGCAAAACAAAAAATAATTACATATTATTGACGGTCAGGATACAATCAAAATTTTTTTGAAAATAAAAATTTAAAGTGAACTCTATCGAAATACATTATGACCGTAGAGACATGAATGAACACCGCATACATTTCTGCAAAACTCAATTAATAAATATCATTCGTTATAAACATTTATAAAAAAAATAATTAAAACATTAATAAAATATAAAATAAAAAAGTATTTTGAAACAAAATTATTAAAAATGTATCTAAAAAACTGACAACACATTCATTACAGATTAATCATATATTTGAATTGCATGTTTTATAAGTTACTATTCATTATTTTCAAAAGAACTTGTTTCATAACACCATTTCAAATTTCTATTAAAAAAATCCGATCGGGTCAATTTTTTTCGCAGCTTTATGTTCAAATTACTGCCATACCTTTATTTTACATGCAAACTTATTAAATCAAAGCAGTTGAGCTCAAACTCTATTAATTAAGCTCGAGCAAAGAGTAACTAATGCTCGACTAATTTCCTTTACGCCCATGATGTAAAAGCCTACTGTAATATTAAATTGAATAAAATAAAATAAAAAATTATGCCTTAGTTTTTGAAAAGTTTATTAGCTTGTACAGGAAATAAAATGTAAAATTTTAATGACTTCTGAAACACATATTGGTCAAAATAAGATTGCTCAAATTGAATGAAGCGTTTCTTCTTTCAAATGAAGTTTCAATTTTTACTAATTAAAATGTTTTTAATAAATATGACAAAAAAAAATTAGGATTAATTAATTACAAATCATATTCACCTTAAAATAGTTAAATAGTTATTAAATTTAAGTATGAATATCCTAAACTTTTTTTTTTTTTGGGCTTAAATTAAACAACGGATTATAAATGTATTCAAGCTATAATGAACCCGAATATGTACTTGCAAGGTTTTAATCGTGTTCGGGTCATTGTATATACTACTTAAAAACCCAACTGAGCATGAACAAAAAGTAATGAAAACTTCATAATTTAGTCTTCTTTTATACCAAATACATAAAAACCAATGTATTGAAGGGGAGACTACAATCACTCCCCATTTGCAAAGTATGATTTATATAATAGACTTTAAGGTACATCGGATGTTACACATACATATTGCTTGGAATACAACAACACAACAACAACAACAACAACAACAACAACAACAAAGCCTTGATCCCACTAAGTGGGGCATACATATTGCTTGGAATAGCTAAAAGATGAACACACTTGGGAAGATGATAGGGCTTGCTAGTCATCATTCTCCTACCGTGTCTCAACTCTCATATGGAAGAAGTTCAACTTTCTGAACAAAGCTCTCGCAAAAAGAACAAACACAAGATGCCCTGAAACAGAATTAAATCGGCAATCAGAACTTGTTTCAGTATCAGACAAACAGCTTAAAACTTTAAAATTACACATTCTACATGATAACAAGAAAATTAATATATGCAATATTGGGCAAATTGGCTGAATATGATGCTAGGCCAAGTCATGAAAACCTCTGGCAAACAGTTCCACATTTCAATTATTCAGAGTACCATCAGAAGCCATAGAGCTGTCTATAGACATGAGTAGCTAATTGTAAACAATTTTAGTGCATACAAGCAGCCTAGCTATCAAAAACAGGATAATTGAATAAGAGATTGAAGACAGATGGAAAACTACTGCAAAAAAAATTACATTTGTTTCACCTTCATGGAATGATCAACCAAGGAAGATCATATACGACGCAACTTGGCTTATGTCGAAAGCAAGTTCAGAAAACTGAACTACTATAAGCAGCTTTAATGGCCAACTTGGCTCTTCTTTCCTCGAAAGACGCTGGAAAAAGAAAAAAAATAAATTGTTAAAAGAACGGCTAAAGATATTGATGGTGAGAATGGATCTTCATATGGGTGCCTATCTGACATTCTTTAACTCCCATAGAACTACAATAATCATTCTTAACAGCTTCTATCCATGTTACCTTAGCATCTACCCTTTGCCTTCCCATGATTCGCCACATTTTAACTACCTATTTACAAACTAAAGAATTAATTGCTTTGAAAAAGCATTCTCATTTCATTAACATTTAGGCTTATATAGAGCCTTACAACATTTACAAATAAATTCCTAGACTTCTTCTATTTACAACTAGAACCCTACATTAGATACAAATCTCAACACTCCCCTCTCAAGATGTGCAAAAAAAATCTATTAAACCCATATTGTCACATAACCTAGACAAATCTAATGAGCTAAGTTTTTCGGAGATGCCGTCAGCCACTTGCTCTGTAGTGGCTACATGATTTAGCTCCACTAGACTGTTGTTCAGCTTTTCGTGGCTACATGATTTAGCTCCACTAGACTGTTGTTCAACTTTTCGTTGATGAAGAATCTATCAATCTCCACATATTTGGTTCTATCATGTTTCATCGGGTTGTTGACAATGTCGTTGACTTGTCGCACCACAACTTCATTTGAGCTTC